GTGTGGATAATAATATATAGCTGCATAATATATATTATAATAAATAGAATATATATAAAGATTGAAATACTTCTGGAGCTTGACTCTACTTTATATAAAAATGTATTAAAACGTCTGTGTATTCGATTTTTCCTTGAATGAAACGGGGTCATGTCTATTTAACTCAGCTTTGCTGCATTATTTGTGTATTACATTTTAAAATATTATAGCCATACAAAATATAGGTACTAAGCCTATATACTAAGCCACCTAGGTACTTAGAGAAAGTCACTTTTATCTGTGAAATTATTGTTGTTCATAAATTATGACCAGAAACAAAAGAATTATATTTAATAATTTAGTATTTTATTTTTTTAACTATATTATTTTCGATTAAAGATAATGCGTACATTCTATCCAATAAAGGTTTTTAGCTACTCGACTGGAGATGTTTTTGACATTCTTAATGTTATGTTGTTACACTACCAAACATAAATTCCGTGCTTTCCTCACCAATTCACTAAATAACGTCTAATTTGACTAGGAACATTGATAGAACCGTTGACAAAACTTACTGTGATGCCATCATTATTGCCCAAAACATTTCTATTGTCAGAGTAAACGGGAATAGCAAATTATAATATCACTAGCAGATTTAACAATCACACAATTATTAAGAACTATAATAATAATAATAATAATAATAAAGTGTAATAACTTTGTACTTATAAAATCTATTTATTTAATTGAAGTTGTATCTATTTTATGATGTAGACCGTGGTAGGTACTGCATGCAATACACTAATATCTACCTGTAAGAACGATCACTGCAGAATGTGAGTGTTATACTTACAGTTTTCATCTTCATACTCATGCAGTAATTCAAAAATGGAAATTTTCCGTGATTATATATTCATAAAATCTTTAGTTTACTGATCAGTACATTTACTATGACTCATTTCACTATTCAAAACAGTTAATTTTCACAAAGACCATACAATTATACGAATTTATTGTCAAGTCTTATACTAGACCTATTATACATTTGTGGTTGTATTGAATACACAAAAGACTAAACAGCACATTTACGCGTTATCTAGGTTTTCGAATTATAGTAAAAACAATGGTAAATTATAATTTAAAAAGTCATTATAGGATATGCATATAATATGTTTGTGCCGACATGGAGTTATTGTACGCATATCTTAATTGATAAGCTCTACCCTCCTAGTCATAGATAACAGTATTTGTATAGTTTATATACTAACTTGTTGTTTTGTTTTTATTTATGACATTTATACGAAAGCAATACAACTATAAAAAAAAAAAAAATAAATATAAAACAAAAATGTCAATAATTCAGTAAAAAAAAAAAAATGTCAGTAACTATATTTTTATATTTTTTGTTGAACTTTTATTCATTTCTTTGTTCTTATATCTGCACATTTGTACACACTTAGAGCTGCAGTTCTTAAAGACCATGTAATAACAAACGAGTAATAATTGATAACATACATTGAACATTATTTTCAATTTTGGCAGACGTACAAATTTTGTTACTGAAATTCTTCATCTCATTATTTGTCACTCTTGTTTTCGATATTAAATATTATTCAATTAACTTATTAGCTGATGTCTTTCAGGAATAATTTGAATATCCAATTTTCCATTCACGAGTTAATAATTCACATAGTAATATATTACTATCTTGTGTTCGAAAGGTACGAAAGTAGAATTTTATTAATATTTGTTAATCAAAATTCCCACAAAACAACTTAATCACATTTGCTATTAAAATTACAAAGGAAAACTATTTCGGAGTATTTACATTACGCGTTCAGAATTTTGTTCTAAGCATTGCTCGACTATAGAATTGTGAACTAGCTAGGTATACAATTCCTGGTATATTATGTATTTATGAGTGACAATATATACGTTGTCCAACCATTTTGGGCATTCAAGAAATTTCCTATTTTCCACATTCCCCGTCACACATGGATATATGTTAACAGAATTTAATTAAAATTCTGAAGAACCTAATATTATGTTGTAAGAAAAGTTTAAGTTTTCATGTTTTTGAATAATATATTCATATTAACGTTTCAGACGGATATAAATCACTGTCAGACTTTTGGTCTAGTTTATGACTTTTGCTGTTATGTAATATAGTTTATATTACATTTATGAAATAAATAATTTGTTTATGATTATATATATACACATTTATATATTACTATAACATATCAGCATATTATTATATTATGTGCATGTGTGAGAATAATATTTAGATGATATACGTTTTGTTTTTTTTTTTATAAGTCTCGGTATCTGGGCCAATGGCCAACAATTGCTTCCTTATGTTATGTTAATTTATTATTATAATATCAAGTATAATATGCTTTATAAAGTGTGTTTTTATAAAATAAATCAATATTTAGATGTTTTAATGTTATAGTTTAATTATTTCAAACTCAAAAATAATACTTTGTAAGGTTTTATTTAAAATCAATACAAATAGAATACCAGAATATTAAGACGAGAAAAAAATTAACCTATTGAGTTATGAAATGCATAAACACAATATATTATGTATGTATAATATATAATTATGTACATTTTCCTCATTTATTTATTCAAATTGTATACAATTGATTGTAAACATTAAACGCACTACTATAATGTTTTACTCAATAAAATATGTAATGTTCATTTCGTGGAATTATTTTTTTGAATCTTATATTATAATATACCTACCTAATAAATATAAAAATTTACGATTGTTAAAGCAAATCATTAAAAACTTGCCATATTAAACAGACGTTTTAACATCTGTAAACATAATAATATTCTTAAATGTCTAGACTTTTTATTAAATTATAGCCAGAGTTCATGAAAACCGTTCACACGACAATAACCACGTTTACAAGTTCGACAAAGGTACCTACTGAAGAAAAATGAAGATGTTTTATTGAATATTCTATAAAGGATAAAACATCAACAATATCTGAATAATGTTATAAAATAAAAAAAACTATCAATAAAGTATAAGTTTATGAAAATACAAACTTATTGCAGAAGTACCTAGTCTTGAGTTTTTAATGAGCACATAATATTATACCATCGAATGGTTGTTCATTTTCATATCATGGTCTAACGAATCGAATAATACATAATTTGGAAGAGGTCGAGTGTTATCCAATTGAATACTTGTATCACTATAATTGGGATCATTATATTTGCGGAATCAAGTATAGCTAACAAACTACCACGGTACGTATAAAGTTTAATGAAATCGTAACCAACAGAAACAAAATTACAGTCAGTACGCATACGAAGTAAATGGCTAACTACAGCAATCACTATATAGTAATATCAGCTATCTACTGACCTGTCGTTGACACTTAGATGCCAATCGACAAAATGGTAAGGATAACACATATTATCTTCTAAGCGACCCACACGGGATTTTATTTGGATTTAGTGTATTTAATATACTGATGACACTACACAGGAGAGGGGCATTTTATAGAAATACATTTTTACAAAGAAAGAAATATTTTATTTATTTGCTAGTTTTTTTTTTTGGTGGGGGGAGGAGGTTGGAGTTGATCCTTGAACACCCGCTTTAAGTGATTTACTGGAGTATCTCGATAAATGCTTATACGCATAAAATAAGCATAGGTATCTTATTAGTTATTATGTTACAGCCCATTGTCTGCTTAATAACTACGATTATATAATGTTATTGCACACGTATTTCAATATAAAATATTATCTACTAGTAGTGCTGAAAATAATAAGGGTTTCCCGATTGAAATATAATATACATTAAACTGTTATCAATGTGTTATGTATAACCACAGTTTATTGTTACAAGTATTTTAGAAAATAATGAAAGATAATTGAGGTAAAATACCGTATAATAAATATTTTGTTATTGATTTATATTATCCGTTGCTGTGCCGCCCTGTATTTAAAAGGTAGGTACTTAGTGGAATACTGCCAAAAAAAGATTGAGATAACGCGACAAACTATGTTGTAGTATTGTGTACACGCAAAGCGAATTAAGCTGAGTATGATGTTTACATTTTTTTCGACGGGAATTTATAGCGAACGGCATATTTCAAAAAACATCAGCACCGTTTGAAAACGACATCATGTTCGTTCATGGTGAAGGTATCCTTTCCGAAACCATCTTTAACAACAGTTAATTCGCCTAACCCACTTGGATGGCAGCATAGCGCGTCTGTCTTATCAGCCGCTTTCGGCTTGATTGCTCTGATGTTGCTTGTACCACGTCCAAATCACCGTCTCATATTGCCAACAGCTTAATGGCATGTTAAAATGAAAGGAGCCCGCCCTTTCCACACCCCCAACTAGACGCATTATAAAACAAAACGTCCCCTACTTTAATATCACCTGAGTTCTCGTGTTTCATTTCACTCTCTCTCTCTCTCTCTCTCTCTCTCTCTCTCACACACACACATACACACACACATATACACACACACACACACACACACACACACACACACTGATTAACACATAGGTGTAATATAATATAATATATATAAGTAGTATCTCAGTATCAAAAGGCTGTTAAACGAAGTTTAACGTATGAGTTAATAAAAAATCGAAAATGTAAAAAACGAGGAAATCGTGGCAACGCATAACGTGTATAGGTTAGGTGAATTGTAATGTGGGCCAATGAGTTTCATACAGTTTACTGGTTAGAGGTAGATTACTTGTCTACTTAGACAAACGACCATTAGGAAGTTTTGACGTGGAATATCTGTAAGCTGTGATGGTACTAACTTTTAAAACGTTTTCGCCGTTCTTGTTAATTACCGGATTCCACAATGTAATATCAAGTCCTTCCATGTGATTGTGGTCCGTTACAATCGATTCCTTATTATTAAATACTTAAAAACTTATAATGTATTGAAAAATAATGTATAAGCTATATTAATATATTATGTATATTGTCTGTATCTATAAATATGGCGTATTATGTAACTTACTTTCCTTCACATGATTTACGTTAGTTCGGTTTTCGTGTGGGAGGTCAGTCTGCAATTCGTTCTGAAAAAATCAACAAGAATGTTCAAATGATTAAAAGTATAAGATTAGTTAAATTAATGAAAATTCATAAGCATCGATGATATGTGATTAGATAATATTAGATTCTCCGCGGAACGGTTGTAATATTAAATTGTTTTTCTTGAATAAAAACAGATACAATTGATCATAACGTTCTGTGCCGTGTATGTGGTAGAGTAATAAACATAAACATATACATTAGATGTATACACTACACATGCAACGCATTTGAAATATCTACGTCTCATCACCCTTGACATGAACGATCGGCCGTTCCATGGAACGGCACAAATGCTCTATTAACGGTACTTACGTTGCGCCGTAAAATAAAAAAAAATCATAGACCCATCGTGATACCCTAACATTACCTACAATCGATACGCACCAATTAGGAAGGGATTACATCAGATCATCGTGCATAAGGATCATACAAAATCTACTCATTAACAGTTTTTGCCAATGCACAACGTCCACGTCAGTCTACGACACGATACACCTTTTCAGTGTTCAAAAGAACGCTGTGCGTATAGACGTATATAACATGTACATTAAAATATTTCAGAATTCAGAATACCAATTCGTTAAATTATTTCTTATTATTACCTCAAATCATCTTGTTATTCTGTTCATTCGCCTCGTGTCCCTGTCGTATTATTCACACACATAGTATAAAATCCTGGGACACTATTGTATCATTAATATTAGACTATTCTTAACTGTAAGTATAATTGCGTTGCCTAGTTTTTATTTATTTAGAACATACGCATAATTTTGGAAGCTCAATAACTTAAATTCTATTCGGTTGGTAATCGATTGAACATTTATATGACCACCACGGATGTAGAAAAGCTTGAGAGCTGCATCTAATTATTATATTCATAGTCGAGGTACTGTGTTAATCATAAGCATAATTATTATTGCTTAATTAATATTAATTTATAATGTAAGAACAGTATGTTATACAGAATGGCATAGATGCTGTACTTAGCTTATAGTTATTATAATCATATCTTTATTGTTAAGTTATTATTATCCATACATATAAAATCCAAAAACCACTCAGTCACTGATCGCTGTAATTCAATAACTACACAACGTACGAACTTGAAATTTGGAATAGAGGTTCTCCTCATATTTTCACCGTGCAATAAGAAAGGATTTTCAAAAATGTTGGGTTTTAGTGGAGTAATTAACAATTATAATTATTCATCGCCAATACGTATTGTGCTATACAACACGGGCCCGCAGGTTTCCAGCATCCAGCTACCTGCGACCTCTCATTTTTACCCGAAGGTCAACAATAAGAATTGTTCCGAGAAGTTTATAGATAAAAATAATCTCATGCAATGCTCGTACACCAATATATACTTAATATACCAATATAATATTACACTCCTATTATATAATAATAATCATCGAACGATAAAATGCCCATCGATAAGTGTTTTACACCTAAAAGGAGTTTTTACGGGCAAAAATAGGGCAATTCAACTAGTATAGAATATAAGTACAATTTTAGGTGCTTAATAACTTAAATTACATTCGGTCAGTGATTGACTGTGACACGCATGTAGAGATTTTAGGAGCTTACGATAATAGTCGCAGTTACAACAAACGAAGCTGGGTACCTAACTCATATCCAAACAACCACGAAAGACACTAGACAAGAGTGTTAGGTATTTAATTCTTTGTATAAATCAAAAAACATATATCATCGCAATAATATCGAGTTTAGACAAACACGCCGAAAGGATATCAACTAAAAGGTACAAGTACAACCGAGGAGCACTCAAGACGAATAATGTAATTGAACAAATGCATGTACATGTACAATTTTTTACATAAAAACAGGATTCAAATTTATATTCATATATTATCAAATATGTTAGGATATACTTAAGTAGTAGAACAATCTTAACATACGCATGCTCAAATGCTTAAAAAACAAAAATGTTATAAGAACGACCCAACCTTAAGTAACACCAATATATATATATATACATATATAAATATATTATATTTTTGAGCCCATGTTCATAGCCATCGTCTCTCGTATCTTATTACATAAGTAAGTATTACTTCATTGAGATATATGGCCTAGTAGCTGAGGATCGTTTAACCAACTGGCAACTCTTCCTGGAAGGATAAGTAACCGCTCTCAGCGACGATACTCTTGTAGGTCATCAACACTGTGTAATACGACATTCTTATTATACAAATCTCACGAATCTCGTCAAATTTAAGTCTCGGTCCTTACACCAGCATTGCACCCCTCCTTAGATTGTCTCTCTTATTTTTCATTCTACTACGAGATAAAGCGTGTTCTATAAAAAAAAAAAAATATTTTCTGCCTGTTATTGTCACTTTTATGAGCGGTACAATTTTTTTGATTTTAAACTTTAAGGATAGTTTTTGGTAGAGAGTAGGATATAGTTAGTAATTATGGAGTAAGAAAGTCAAAGTTCAAACATTATAACTACTTTTGAAAATATTAGAGAAAAACAAAAAAAAAAAATGAGGGAAAACTCTAATTTTTACGCAAAACCAATCACCGACAATATTGATTTCATTTTATTTTTTTAACTCGAAGATATATAGATTTAAAGATTTTAGTTTTTTATGAATATTTATATTACTATTTACTACTTTACAGGATAACTTTTAAAATACATTGAATATTATTGTGTTATTTATAGCCTTATAGGTATTCTAAATTGTCGACTATTTTAATTTTTATACATAATACAATTATTGTTTTTAGGTAAAAAAGTTAATATATAGTTCATCATAAGTTGTTCATATACGAACTAAAAAATATTGAAAGTATGAACTAACCTATAACCTGTACGATGGATGATGGATTGAATATGGGTGGATAAAATGGTACGGATAAAAGAAAATTCTGCATAACAAATGTTAATTTTATTTGACCATTATACATATCAATTTTGATTGCAAATAGTTAGTTTACTTTTTTTTACAAACTTTTTCAAATAAATAAAAACTTAAACATTTTACTCGTGAAATAAATATAGATCACACCTTTTTTTATTGACGTTCAAAGGTTATATTAAAATAAAAACAAAATTACGATCAGTTATAGTTTGTTCACTTGTTGAATGTAATTACATTATTAACTCAAAAAAAAAAAAAAAATAATTTATACCTGGATATCAAAAAAATTCTTAACTCATATACGTAGAGAACGAATAGAAAACGAATAATACATTTTATGTAAATTTAAATACATTTTTAACTTAAAACAATTTAAAAACCCAAAAAAAAAAAAAAATAATTTATACCTGGATATCAAAAAAATTCTTAACTCATATACGTAGAGAACGAATAGAAAACGAATAATACATTTTATGTAAATTTAAATACATTTTTAACTTAAAACAATTATAAATATTGTAGGCATAAGAGGGAACTTACTATTTATCGTAAAATGATGATTATATTTTTCAATTTAATATACTTTCACTATACTTGTAACTCTGAAAAAGCACTTATGCACTAAAAAAGGTTTTTTTGTAGCTATTTAAATTAAAAATATTAATAGTTAAAAAATGAACTAAAATAAGAATAACAGTTACCTACATAATTTAATTATATGCCACAGCATGACCTGATGAATAAAAACGTTTAGTTTGTGTGGAACTTATGCTTATTGAATAACTTAAAAAAAAAAAAAATGTCAAGCAGAATGCGTAGTCACCCATTTAGAAACAAACCGAACCTGAAATGCAAATATATAGGGCACCTGTATGCTGTATAATTATAATGCGTATCGATCATAATTTAGTATTAATATTATCTATAAATAAAATTAATAAATGGAAAATGAATAGGTAAGCTTCAAAGGCTTCCGAGAAACCAGTACATCTACCAGTGGTCAACAACGATATTAAACGAGGTGAGTTTTATTTTATGATAAAAATTAAAATTAATTTGATACTAAAAAAATAATAATATTAAAATATTTAGTGCAATAATTATTATTTAGAAAAACGTACTTTTGTATGATCCAATAGTTACTTGTAACAATAACAAATTATACATAATTATTGCTTAATAAAATATGTATCAAATAGTATAAGCTTTAAAAAAATACTCTTCTAAAAAATCCTGAAAATAAAATTACAAACCAGCTTTGTCTTAATATAAAACGTATTTGATTTTAACTCTGCTATTTTTGTGATTGTGTAAAACAAATATGCAAATGAGGTCTTCTGCCCTGAATATTATAATACCTACAGCAACTGTATACATTAAATAAGCAACAGAGTACAATTTTGAGTAAAATATTTTATATTTCGAATTTTTGTCTGATATAAGTATTTAGTATATAATTATATATAATACTATTCACACATAAAACAGGTTTTCCTTTTTGGAACAGATTTCCATCAGTCTATTCAAATGTATATGTTATTGTTGATTTTTCGGGGAATATGTTGTATTAATGAAAATAATATGAGTTATCGATGGTTCAAAGTGATCACATAGTTGGACTTGGACCTATATTTTAGAATCCCATCAACTCAGCCAGATTTTATCGAAACTTTTCGTCTCACTGGGATTCAACGATAAATTATTTTTGTAACATTATTTTTTTATTTTTTTGGTGTACACACAAACACAGAAATAAAATATTGGTTACCCTTTGGCAGACGTTTAGGGAGAAAAAAAAATAATATGAAAAAGTAGTCATAGACAAATTTCCAATCGATTTACTTTGAAGTTTTTCTTGAGACATCTTTTTCAGTCGAGTAAATATGTTTGCACATGGTTGATATCAGTAAATTCCATAGAAGTTCATCGTCATATTATGACAGTCTATATGCTTTAATAGTTCAAATTAAATGTCGGCACTATTTTGTCCACATAGATATAAACAAATTCTTTCGTTTTATGGAATTTAATTATGGTGTTCTAAAAACAATCAACTCAGGTAAACTTTATCGATTACAATAACATCAACG